CCGAGAATCCGGCTCAGTGCATTGCGGCAGTCTGAGAGTCATCGGCAGGTCAAGGTGTACCAGGAGAGCTTGACTACGCCAAAGTTTAACACCGGTGACGCTGTGTTCGCCCTGAACTTTGGTCGTGGAGCAACTTGGGTACCAGCTACTGTAGTGCATGTCCACAGCCCTCACAGTTTCGGAGTACAGGTGGATGATGTCGTCTGGAAGCGCCATAGGGACCAACTACGACCGCGGGCGGTGCAGTTTGGCCAAGTACCCGTTTCGTCTTCTGCGGACCAGGCGGTCGCACAGCTGCCTACACCGACCAGTGACCCGCCGACAGTGCTAGATTCTCCTCTACCACTTCCGGACGCTAGCAGCAACAGTAGCACTGTCAGGCCGGATGATACGCTAGCACCAGCAGCAGACGCCGTTGGAGTCGAGACGGCTCCCAGTGTTGTTGCACCGGCACCCTTGCGTCGCTCCGACCGACATGTCTCCGCGCCCAAGCGCTTGATTGAGAACTGCTAAGTATCCGTACTATTGCCTTTGAGTATGTATTGCTTGTCCTGTTACTTTGATCTGATGCGGCCTGAGTGTAGGAAGTGGACATTTCTGGGCCAGATGAATATTCTACATGTAGGTCATGACGAACAGTCTTCACATAAGATTGTTTTCGTTTAATTCATTGAAACATTTGCATGGTTCCTTTTCCGATCTGATCTAATTCCCCAACGCTATGCAATATTGGCTGACTTTATCTGTCATTCCTACCTCGATCTATAGCTCAGCTCTCATGGACTATTCTGGAAGCTGCAGTAACTGTTATAAGTATATGTGTGCAATGTTTTTGAACTTTTTTGCTTTTGTATTATCTGGCCGTGTAGTGTCAACAGCTATATCTGTCGGCGCCAAATTTGAGTGCCTCTTTGCTTATGTTATAATTTTACCCCGGGAAAAATTCTTGGGGGGCGATTGCTGTGTACGTGATGTGATAAGGCGCGCATGCGCGCCTGGGCTCGTGGCTGGTTTTGCATGCTTGCTGTGCTGGACTAGGTCCGAGAATGTGAGCTCTCTTTTCCTTGTCTTTCTGTTCCTTGATTATTACAATAACTGTACGAACCTGAGTAATGCTGTGTGTGGGCCCTTAGGACCAGACATAACATACATACTCCGACAACATCTCGCGATTATGCCTTTCCTTCCCATGTAGCGTCGCAGTCTCTGTCAGCCGGTTCACTTGAGGCAATGTCAACAGTCCACCAATCTGAAGTGTGCCTCTCAAGTCCTCCGCTGGCAGGTCACACAGCCAGGGACGGATATCGCTGACATACTTAGGCGACTTGAACCAATCTGGTGTGTGTAGATAGGAAGACAGAAGCGTTTCAATTTTTCTTCGCATGTCGTTGAGATTGATTTCCTGAGCCTAGCCACCGGCCAGGGATTGTGCTCGGGGTTGTGCGACTTCCGGTGAGTCCCAAAGTACAAGACTCTAGCCCATCAGTGCATACTTTGCGGAAGTTCAATGTTGGATTCATTTTCTGTGAAGTAGGAAAATAGAGCTTGAGTTGAAATCCTGAATTCAAGTGCTGCAATTTCAAATGTTTTCCTACTTGTACTCCACAAAAAATAGATCCAACATCAAACTTCTGCAAGTTTGCACTGATGGGCCAGAGCGGAATGCTTTGGGGAATTATAGGGAGTCATACAACCCAGCACAATCCCTGGGCTAACCTTTCTATGTTAAAAAAAATCAAAAATATGGTCACTGTATACACAAATAGTGACACCTCCTGAATATCAAAATATTTCTTGTTCGCCTTCAGCATGTGGAGTGAGGGTTGGGGTCAAGAAAATCGTACAAACGTACTTCTGTGCGTATCTCGCGCCAGGTTTGAACGGCACTAATAATAATAATATTCGCGGGATCCGCGTCGGCATCGCTTGAATGTTCGGAAACACACAAACTAGCCTTCGCATCCGCAGGCCACCACTATGCCTATTAACCTTAGTGGCGAATGCAGACCTCACAAGTGAGTCAGGGGAGAGGAGGTTAGTCTCTCAACCAATCGGGCGTGTAACGGCCCATAACCCTGTAAACTGCATCCTTGTTATTCTCACTCCGAGCTGTGAGTACCCAGTTGACCGTGGGTGTCGGCGCAGTTCAGCACGCGTAAAAAGTCTTTTTACACGCTCCCTGCTACCAGCGCGGGTCTTGAACTCGGGACCTCATGATTCGCAGGCAGGCCTGCAAACCAATCGGCCATATGCGTTGGTTCTCTGAACGGCACTGCAGATGCAAATTTCGCGCGAACGGATTCACGTGACCATACAGGACTGTAGAAGTGGACTTTTAGCGGCATATCAGTATTTGACCCGGGTCAACTGTCTTCATGTAAACGCTCACCTCTTTTGTCTATCGTACAGACTTTCAACCCCAAGAGCAGAGGGACACATGGCACGGGCACTTCTCAGGTGTTTTGAATGTCTGCAGTACTTACGATGCAGAGGTATTCCAGCAAATCCCCCAGCGGGAGATCATGCACTCGCTAATGCAGCCACCGTCGGGAGAGGAGTTGACCCATGCCCTGAGACATCTGAAGAACGGCAAGGCTGGTGGCATGTCGCAGATCGTGCCTGAACTGTTGAAGGCTGGTGTGCCCGTCCTCCACCCACTCCTTCTGGACCTGCTTCAATCTGTCTGGTCGGAGGGTTACGTACCGCAGGACTGGCGTGATGCAGTGCTCATCCCCATACCTAAGAAGGGTGACCTTTCTCGCTGCGACAACTGGCGAGGAATTGCGTTGCTGGAGGTTGTGGGGAAGCTAGTTGCTAGGGTCGTGCAGAATCGGCTGCAAGTGCTCGCTGAGGATGAGCTACCGGAGTCGCAGTGTGGGTTCCGGCGAAACCGTGGTTGTGCTGATGCCATCTTCTCTGTCCGCCAACTGGTAGAGAAATCATATGAGCATAGATCGAAGCTGTTTTGCGTCTTTGTGGACCTCCGCAAAGCATACGACTCTGTGCCTCGTGAGGCTCTGTGGCAGGCATTGCTTCGGCTCGGTGTCCCCCCTCAGGCTGTGGCTCTCGTGAAGTCGTTCCATACGGACATGTTGGCGTCTGTTCGTGTTGCTGGTGGTTGTACCGATCCGATCTCTGTACAAAATGGTTTACGGCAGGGGTGTGTCATGGCTCCTGTGCTGTTCAACCTGTATTTCGGATTGGTGATGGAGCGGTGGAGGTCTGTTCTCAGGGAGCGCGGCATCGAGTCTAGTGTGGATTTCAGCTTCTTGATTAGTGGACAGTTGTTTCCCCGTGCAGCTGGGCGACGTCGACAGTCTCAGACTGGTCATGCTGATGATTTTGAGTTTGCCGATGACGCCGTCCTACTCGCAACAACTCATGCTGCAGCCGACCTGTCCCTGTCCGCCTTCTGCGATGTGGCATCCAGCTTTGGCCTCACGGTCAGCATGACGAAGACTAATCTACTGGTCGCGGGCTATGGAGTCGCTGCCGCTGATTGTTCCGATCTGGCAGTTGGCAATGAAAGGGTTAAAGCTGTTACCTCCTTCCCCTATCTTGGATCTGTTATAACTCCGGATTCGCGAGCTCATGCCGATGTCCAGAGCCGCCTTGCGAAGGGTGCCAGGGCCTTTGGCTGTCTTCGGCGGATTTTGCATGATCAGAGCCTGAACCTGCCTACTCGACGGCATTTGTATGTGGTATGTGTTCTCACCACGGTTTTGTATGGCTCGGAGTGTTGGACCCCATTGAAGTCGGACTTGGACAAGCTGGACAGGTTCCATCACGCCAACCTCCGGTCAATCCTTGGCATTTCGCGCGGCCGCCAGTGGGAGCAGCACATTACATCGGAGCAACTACGCACACAGTGGGGTGACCCTACTCCACTGTCGTGCATGGTACAGCGAAGACGCTTGGAGTGGCTTGGGCACCTAGCTCGGCTTGATAACAATCGGTTACCCAAGCAGTTGCTCTTCGCTCATCTTCCACGAACCCGCCCGTTTTGCGGCCCCCGACATCGCTGGAAGGACGTTGTCCAGGCTGATCTGACTGTGGCCGGTGTGCACAATTGGTTCCAATCAGCCAACGACCGCGGAGAGTGGCGTGACATAGTGTCGGCAGCAGCGGGGGTGAAGGAGCCTGCCCCGAAGACGATTGTGTGCCACGTTTGCGGCCGCCTGTTTCGTCGGCGAGCCGACATGGCCCGGCACAAGTGCACAGCAGTCCGACAGCTCCCCGTATCACAGCAGCCTGGGTCGGTGCAGTGTCCTGCCTGCAGTAGATGGCTCCGGAGCAGGGGTGGGCTTGCAGTGCATAAGTGCCTGGGGAGTGGCAACTGTGACGACCGACCGCCTTTTGATGCTCCTCCTGTTGCCGAGGTCCCGGTGTGTACTGCCTGCCAGCGTACTTTCAAGTCTACTGCTGGCCTCAAGCGCCATCGCTGTGGACCCCGCCCGAAGCGCCCTACAGTGACTGATCGCCAGCACTTTGAACATCATTGCCGAGTCTGTAGTCAACGCCAGTTTCGGAGGCGACAGGACCTGGAGCGCCATTTGAAGCACTGCCTACCTCTCCCCTAACCTCTCTGACAGTACCTCCCTTTGGGGAGCGGCGTGGCCATTTCTGGCAGCTGTCAATAGTAGTAGTAGCAGTAGTGTGTGTGTGTGTGTGTGTGTGTGTGTGTATGTGTGTGTGTGTGTAGTTGTTGACTGTGTGCTTTTTGGGAGCAATTTTTATTTCTGATACCAGTTTACTGGCCTGCTCTAAGGTTCTCTGTCTGCTCAGAGTAGGCTCTGGAGCTGTTGTACATTGCCTAAGAATTAGGTGAACAAATGAAACGCGAAATTGTGATGGTGATGGCAGGTATAATTGCACAAGTACTGTGTGCATGTGTGTAAACCATCCTCAGCAATACAAAATCATGAAGTGTTGGTGCATGCTGGCCCAGGAACCCATCATGGGTCCTAGTGGTTTTGCCTAGAAGTGAAGGTCGCATTTACCTTTGTCAATCGTGGGACTTGTCTGCTCATCCATAGGCTCATCTGAAGTTGGTCTGTGGGACAAATACCAAGAACCGTGAATTAGAACGGAAGGAAAAACCAGTACTGAAGTACTGGCACGTGCGCACACACACGCACAAACACACACACACACACACACACACACACTCACACACACATACACACAAACACACACACACACTCACACACACATACACACACACACGCCTTAAATTTATTTTAAAAAAATGTTAATGGATTTCCACTAGGTTTTTTCTATGAAAGTTAGAGCTAAGGCTAGCTAACATCAGGGGCATGGTAACTCAAAAACCTCAAATTTAGACGATAAGCACCGTTTTCACATAATGATAAAAAATATTCACGGTTCGCGTGAGACTCGGTTGGAAGCCAGGTTTTCCGCATCCGCCGCGTGGGAACACCACCACCCTCTAGGATCAAGGCGCAGATGCAGTGCCTAGACGGTGGGAGGTGAGTAGATCAGACCCACCACCAAGTGGTCAAAGACCGAAATCCCACTAGCTGCATCCATGTTACCCTCGTGCCAGGCCACGAGTTCCCAATTAGCAGTGGGTCGCAGCACAACTGGAAAAAGTCCTTCCGCTTCCAACCAGGACTTGAACCTGGTACCCTCTGTTTCTCAATCATGGTCTTAGACCATCCCACTATGCCTGCCCGCCTGCCCCGTTTTCACACATTCATTTATGCACTGCAGCGCGTTGGTCGCATCGGATCAACATGTGCACTGCACGCAACGTTCTGTACGCATTGAAGGTGCCGGCCCCGGTCATTCAACTGGATTTTCATGTCCACAACAGGACATACACACAAACCTCGCAGTAACGTGGGGGCACGCAACGTGCACACACAATCGTGCACTCACAATGCACACAATGCACACACAATCGTGCTGGCACGCAACGTGCACACACAATCGTGCTGGCACGCAACGTGCACACACAATCGCTTTTGCAGAGCCTCCTGGAAAGACATAGGCAGTTTGTAGGCATTACAGCCGTTTTCGTACGCATTCGACCTTCAAGCCAGTTTGCTACAACTATATTGAACAGAAAAAGACGAAAATAGTATGGACCCGCTGGGGTGGGCGTTTGCTGCGAAGTGGGCGTTTGCAGCGGACTTTACGGTACACACACACACACACACACACACACACACACACACACACACACACACACACACACACACACACACACACACACACACATGCACACTCATTACACAGTGCATACACTTACGTTCCAGTGCCAAACAGATAGCTAGTTTGTTTCTTCTCAACGGATCCTTCAAACAACACAGCCAGTACATTGGACACACACATGCCCACACACGCACATACACATACACACACAACATACACACACATACGCACACACAACATACACGCACACACACACACACACACACACACACACACACACACATACACACATATATAGACACACACACACACACAACATGCACACACACAAACACACACACACATATACACACACAGTGCCAATCAGAGCAGCTCAAGTCAAGTGCTCCACGCACAGATTATGTACAGAGCAATATGCCCACACTGAACACTGAAGGCTAAGGTCTGTCTACATTACATAGCTGTAAGTTCACGTTTCACTCATCCTAGAGATCTTCAAACAGCGGTATTCACGATTAAATTGGTTTCGCGAGCGGGCCTAGATATTAGGCACTGGGAAGAAAGTCATGGTTTATGCTTGTTACATGTATAATTCCTAAGGGTGTGCAGACTCCACTGTAGCCACAGTTCATGTTTCACACAGTTATACACCACTACACAAAAACGGTCTCTTGGCTACAAATTCTTCCAAAAATAATAAAAAAATTATTATTTTGGAAGAATTTGTAGCCAATAGACCGTTTTTGAGTAGTGGTGTATAACTGTGTGAAACATGTATAATTGTAATATCAATGGGAAAGGAGTGATATCGGGTTCCCACTAGGCTGAATTTTCAGCCGATGCTCTTATGCCTGGTCCATACTGTCCGATATTTCGGTCGACGCTCCGATACCGACTCCCACATGAGATCGACCAACTGGATTGGACCTTTACACACACCCACGCAAATTTGTCGGAAACGCCTGCGGCATCACCAGGTAATTTTCACGCCGATCTTGAGGATTTTTTGTATGATTCCATAGTCGATAAACCGCGATTGGCCAAAAACTCGACCTAGCGGAGACCAGGCATGATATGGACTTCAACATGAAATCGACTGTCTAAGTCGGATGATTCGGATTACCGGTTCACACAGAACGAACGACAAGCGATTATTTTTGCTGGCCTGTGGCGCTCTGTGCACACACGTACGCATTGTAGGCAGCCATGCTAGACCGTAGTAGACGCCAGAGCGGAAATGAGATCGTTTTTACACGAGCTGCAAAGTCAACGGCGTGAAGGGCTGGCGTCAAGTAGCAATCCAGTGCAACCAGTTCAGGATCTGCACCGACACTCTCTGCTGTCATGGTGACAAGCCAATAGTGATTGGTCAGAGGCTCGCACCACTCCAACCACTAAGAAACTCGCCGCAGACTGGTTGGAACCTTGTCCGACAACACTGGTTACACCGGGGAAATGTTCGCACCGATCTTCACGATTTTGTCATACAATTCCATGTCGGCTGCAAAATTGGCCTAGTGGGAATCCGGAATTATTGGGTCAGAGGGTGAGATTGTGGCTCCAGGTTTGTAGTTGTTGTTGTTGTTGTCGTCGTCGTCGTGGTTGTTTCTGTTGCTATTTTACTGTTCCTGCCGTCTCTTTCGCACTCATCCTTGCCGTTTTTTGTGGTAATTGTGTTAAAAAAAATTGATTTCTACTGTAGAACGGTCCTAGCTTTTTGAACTACTTAGTAGTAGTCTCAAGTTTCACGGAATGAACCTTACCTTCTGTGGAATGTTTCTGAGCTGGCGGGGCAGTTTGCTCGTCGGCCTCCTTCAGTTCGATCCACTTACTCATGTCTTTGTAGACCTCCTGGATCCGCACTGCTACTTTGCAGTACAAATTCGACTTGGCATCGCTAAAGAGCCAGCGTCCGGTATGAATGCCGTAAACGACGTACTCCTTGTCTTCATCGTTGTAGCAGTACACGGGTGAGCCGGCCTGTCCAGCGCTTGAATCAATGTAGTGACGGTAGAGTCGCTTGACCACAAGTTCCTGGTTGCTGCTGATTTTGTTGGTTCTATCGCCGTCGCCGTCATTCATATGACGTTGCGGCATGGCGAACAGTGCAGAGGTCTCTCTCTCCTGGACTCTGCGCTTTTTAAAGCTGATGTCATCCTGTAGCGGTTCAGCTTTCTTGGATTTATCAACGGGCACCCAGTACATGTGACCTAGTACCTTCTCGTTCTTGACCTCTGCAGGAAACCCGCACAGGAACGCCTGGTCAACAGACTCCATACGCGGCTGTTGGGCCATTGGGACGTGCACCATTGCATTTTCACCGCTCAGCTTGTCAAGCTCATTCTTTAGTCTCTGTTCCAAGTTGTCCTTGCGCAGAGCAATAATACCATAATCATACGGATAGCGATCCCACTCTCCCTTGCCGCAGTTCTTTATGTAGTCTTCGGGCACCCGCAGCCATCCTCGGTCATTGTTTTCCTCGACAACGGTTCCATCCGGCGGGAACGTGCTACTGGGTTTGTAATCCTTGGGATCCCATTCGTACACAATCTGAGCCCAACGATACTCTCCACAATCGCTGCAAAAAATAACGTGTGCGGCAGTCGTGAAATAGTAGCAGGGATGATCGCGGCCTTTGTTGAGCTGTTCGACCATGAAGCACGTGGCGATCCCTATCTTGCAGCAAGTTACGCACCTTGAACGTACTTGGAAAATGGAGGCGTGAACTGGGTGACCCCCGGCGGGAGTCTTCCTAGGATTCAGGACTCGAACCCTCCTATCTTCGGCATTGAAGACCTTCTCCTCCCCGCCGGTAGCTGCGGCCCCTGACATAATAATATTTACTCAATCCTCCTAATCCCGTTGCCTGTAGATTATGACTGTGATACTGATGATATTTTCACTGCTCAAACTCCCTCCATTCAGGCAAAGGCCAGTGGAGGAGAATACAATCATGTCTTTTTATTGGTTTTAGGTCCCATGACGTAGAGTTTGAATTTTGTGCTCCTGCTTTCCCCCGAGTTTCGTGAACTTTGCACAAGTAGACTTGGTAGCTCTCTCAACAGTGATGCCCGCAAAGGGCAACTCCGCGACTGGCGTCCCCGACGGCCAGTGTTGCCAGTGCACTGGCAATTCCAAGTGCGGAAAAGGCTGCTGTTGCCGAGAAGCTGGCAAGCTATGCGAGGATTGCGGGCCCGGGAACAGGGCAAGATGCCGAAATTTGCAAACCGTCGCGGCGAAGGCCAGTCCCGTAGGCTTTCGAACCATACGATACATTCCAGCCGCCGCGTCCCCCACGCGGAGACCGACAACCCAGGGCGAAGCCCACGTGTCGCAACAGTCGGCTCGGGACACTCCGCCTCTGGACGAGCTCCACACCGACGGTCAGGGCCAAGGATTAGATAGCACCAAGCAGGTGTCGGACTCGCAGCAGTTGGCGTGGGACGTACTGGAACAGCTCCACGTCGCCGAGCTCTGCATCGACGGTCAGGGTCAGGGCCAAGGACTAGATGGCACTACCCACGAGTCGGCCTCGCAGCAGCTGGCGTGGGACACCCTGGAACAACGCCACCTCGCCGACCCGATTTCCAATTCGCAAAAGGTAGCATGGGACCTTCTCGATGCCTCTACACCAACACCCTCGGAGACCGGCTCCTGTGGAGAAGATGCACTGCCACGTGAAGCCAATGCTCCACGGCAAGACCGACAACCAACGGCACAAGAGGTCGCCCTCCTAGCGAGCCTGAGCTCCTCGCAGCCCAATAGCAACAGCGAACCGGAACTCACAAACGCGCACGGTACAGTTAGTGGGCAGGGGGCTGCAACACTGCCAATCCCGCCAGCTGACCAACGACTCAGACTCGGTGAACTGAGCCCCGAGGACACAGGACAGGTCATAGCTGCAGCGTACGAGGAAATCGTACACTTCCGGCCTAACCTGTTCGCCATCCCATCGGGTGCACATGGCAGGTCAGTGGTGGACTTGAGCGCTCGCTACCTCAACACGTTTGGAACAAACGCGGCGGGAGAAGGCATAGCCTTGAAGGCACTTATGGTCTGCCACAGTCTTCTACTGCAACAACCGGTCAACTGCTTGACACGTAAGGTGCATGTGGAATGTCTGAACCGACGAATGCAGCTATGGAACGAGGGAAACATCGATGAACTCGTACGGGAAGCACGTACCATCCAGCGCCAACTAACCAAGGAACGTGGCGGGAAACGGGCCCAAAGTCCAGATGACGCGCGACGATTCGCTACCCTCATCACAAATGGTAAACTGGGCGCAGCTCTCCAGTCCCTGACAGCAACGCCCTCGGGTGGGCTGCTAAATCTGGACTCCTCCGCTGATGGTAAAACCGTGAGGCAAACGCTGAAAGAGAAGCACCCGCCGGCGGAACCCTTGCATGCAGACGCCCTCATCATCGGCCCCTGCCCTGAACTGCCGCACCCGGTGCTGTTCGAAGCTCTGAACAGAGACATCATTCGGCAATCGGTGCTAAGGACAAATGGAGCAGCAGGCCCTTCCGGCATGGACTCTACCAGCTGGAAACGCTTGTGCACCTCATTCGGAGCGTCCTCCGACCAGCTATGTGATAGCATCGCCGCCTGCGCCAAGCGCATCGCCACCGGAATCATCAACCCAATTTCCCTCGAGTCATTCACGGCATGTCGCTTGGTACCTCTGGATAAGAAGCCCGGGGTGCGCCCAATCGGCATATGTGAAGTCCTCAGAAGGATAGTAGGCAAAGCCATCCTCACCATAATCGGAGAGCAGATCCAACAGGCGGTCGGGTCGCTTCAGCTGTGTGGCGGCCAAGAATGTGGTGTGGAAGCAGCAATCCACGCAATGCGGCACCTATGGAATGAGGAAGAGACCGAAGCAGTCCTCCTAGCAGACGCGAGCAATGCGTTCAACAGGCTGAACCGCAGTGTGTGCTTGCACAACATCCGTCACCTCTGTCCGGCCATCGCGGGTGCCGTCACCAACACCTACCGGCATCCCGCACGGCTGTTCGTCGATGGGGAGTGTCTTCTTTCTGAGGAGGGCACCACCCAGGGAGACCCGATGGCAATGCCCATGTATGCCATTGGGCTCCTCCCACTCATGCAGAAGGCGGCGAGCAGCTCAGCGGCAAAGCACATCTGGTTTGCGGATGATTCCACAGCAGCAGGCCGTATGCGTGCGCTGCGTGTATGGTGGAACACGCTCGAGGAGGAGGGCCACAAGTACGGATACTTCATCAATGGTTCCAAGTCCACTCTCCTGGTGAAACCACAGTTTGCCAAAACCGCGGAGGAAGTGTTCCATGGGACTAACATCGCGATCATGCAAGATGGTTGCCGTCACCTGGGTGCGGGACTGGGCACTGCTACTTTCTGCAAGCAGTTTGTTGCAGCGAAGGTCATGGAATGGGTGAAGGAACTGAAAGTCCTCACCAGGTACGCCCAATCGCAACCACAAGCAGCGTACACGGCGTTCACGCAAGGGCTGAAGGGCAAGTGGACATTCCTCGCTCGCACCATGCCAGAAGCGACGGAGAATTTCCAGCCACTGGAGGAGATTATCCACGGCGAGTTTATCCCGGCGCTCACAGGACACCCCGCTCCTGATCAGACCACCCGCACTCTCCTCGCTCTGCCTTGTCGCCTAGGGGGCATGGGTCTAATCAACCCGTGCGATCTCGCCAGCCAGTTGGATGACTCCAGGACCATCACGCAGCCATTGGTGGAGCGGATCATCGTGCAAAACACGGACCTAGGTGATGTTCACCACACCATGAAGGCAGAGAAGGCGAAGGTGCGCAGGATCCACTCCGTAAGGGAGAAGGAGACCCTAGTCGCTGTGGAAGAGAGCATCGCTTCGGACTTAAAGCGGTCCAGGGAGCTGGCGGCGGAGAAGGGTGCCTCGTCGTGGCTGACATGCAAACCACTGAAGATGTTTGGCTTCACGCTATCGAAGGGCGCATTTCACGATGCGGTTTCATTGCGATATGGCTGGCCTCTGAAGCGTTTGCCCTCTGCTTGCAGCTGTGGTAAATCATTCACCGTGGCCCATGCTCTCTCCTGCTCAACCGGCGGCTACCCTAGCCTCCGCCACAACGAGGTACGCGACCTCACAGCATCCATCATGAAGGAAGTTGCGCACCAAGTTGTGGTGGAACCGCTGCTAGAGCCGCTGACAGGTGAGAGGATGACGCTACGGTCAGCTTCAACTGAAGACAACGCCCGCCTAGACATCGGTGCCAGTGGAGTCTGGGGAGGTCGGTACGAGCGTTCGTACTTTGATGTCCGGGTTTTCAACCCCCACGCCCCCACCAACGCCAAGTTTGCCTTGCCCGCTGTGTACAAGCGACATGAGCAGGAGAAGCGTCGCCGCTACGAGGAACGGATCACCAACGTCGAGCACGCCTCCTTCTCACCAGTTGTCTTGTCCTGCACTGGAGGGTATGGCAAAGCTGCGACAGCACTCTATGCTCGGCTGGCATCGATGCTCGCCGACAAGAAGCAGGAGCCGTACGCTGCCACAATGTCCTACATCCGATGTAAGCTCAGCTTTGCCCTCATCCGTGCGGCTGTTGCCAGTCTGCGAGGCCATCGGCACCGCGTGCCCTCAGATGCAAATGACTCGGCCCGATTTGCGGTTGCCATGAGCAGCATCGGTTAAAGCTCCCTCCCGAGGCTCCGTACTAGACTGTTTTCACAGCCATTTTTGCTCTCAGCCTTTTTTTGCTCTCTCGACTGTTTTCACAGCCATTAATTTTTTGCTCTCTCGACTGTCTTCACAGCCATTTTTTGCTCGTTTTTCTGCCGGTGCTGGTGAGGTTGCACTCGTAATTGTGTTTATTTTGCCCGTATAAGAGGCATTTTTTGCTCGTTTTTCTGCCGGTGCTGGTGAGGTTGCACTCGTAATTGTGTTTATTTTGCCCGTATAAGAGGCTTGGCACAGAAAAAAAAAAAAAAAAAAAAAAAAAAAAAAAAAATCATGTCAGGGCTCCGTCAAGCTCCTACGCCGGGAAAGGTATTTTTTCTTGTGGTACAAGAACGCCTCTTCACGTCCTTGTCTTAGGCCAGGGACCTTTAGCACCATGGGTACCACGTAACTTACAACGTAGGCCTTTTGAGTCGTTGACGTACTTGATCACGTCGATCGGGGTGCGCGATACGTGTTTTGCATACTTGGCTAGCCTTTATAGCTTTAGCGAGACGTGATTATGGATCGACGTCGTTGCCACAGGAACAGAGCAGAATGGCGCGCGTGATTTCAAAGGCGAAGGACGTCACTTTTTAAAATTATTATTTTTGCCGACTGCCCGGACCCCCCAAAAAAACCTTTTCGTTTCACGTGTCAGACACGTCCGCGAGCTCGAGCGCGTACGACTAGTACGTCGACTCGCTACCCACGGGTGTTTGCAGTGCATGAACTCTGGCCAGTCGTCCCCGTACGCCAAATGTGTACGCATTTGTATTTACCGTACATTTCCTCGTGTTTTGGGCGAATCTGAGCGGTACGACGCTGTCGAATTGGGCCTGAATTTGCCCTGAACCAGCCGCTATCGAAGTAAAATTAGGTGTTTTGAAGGCCACACGGGAACACTGCGGCCATGTCTTCTTTCCTGCGTCGTTTGTTTGAAAATCGGCGTGTTTTTGAGCTCGTAGTTCGTCTTCGTTGGGGAATGGCCGTGCGTACATTCTCCTTGGAATTACCAAAGTCTCACCCCCGTTTATTACATTACTAAGAGTTTTGCCGGCAGCCACGATAGTTTTTATCCCTGCTTCCATACGTCCTTTCATTGAACAGCCAAACGAAACTTTGTGGCACGCCTTAGTTTTTTGTGGCGCGGGGGTCTCAAGTTTGTCACTTCGAGTTGTACACAACAATCACATCAACACCTCAAAGGACCAAAAAACCAAGTGAGCAAGTATTTCAACCTTGCGATTCTGCCAGGCCT